CGTAACGTACGTAGTACGTACGTACGTACGTACGTACGTACGTACGTACGTACGTACGTACGTACGTACGTACGTACGACGTACGACGTAGAGAGAGAGAGAGAGAGAGAGAGAGAGAGAGAGAGAGAGAGAGAGAGAGAGAGAGAGAGAGAGAATGGTTTTTACTTTGAGATAGAGAGTGTAGGTAGAAAGAGTCCCAAAATAGAGTAGAGAGAGAAAGTAAAGGCATTTTTGTCTTAAATTTATTGATTTTGTGTTTAGGGGAGAAAATATAAAGAAAAGCAATATTGGGAGTTAGGGTGGGATACAAAGTTTTGACGGGTAGGATGTTTAGAAAGTTGAATTTGGTCATGTATTCCATAAGTTGAATGAGGTTCTATTTGGCTCTTGTATATTAAAAGAGATGTATGCTCATAGGTTTCCAAATTCAAGGTTTTATGTGTGTATGTTTAGCGGAGGATGTTAGAATATGTTCACGTTGCCCTAGGTCTATTTATAGATATGGATAAACCTACCTTAACCTAATGTGCGGCCACTCGCCCTCACTTTACTATCAGCACCTGCTCTCTCATGATCATGATACAGATGATTATTTTTAAACATTTAGGACTTTGTGAGAATGGAACTTTAGACTTCATCGTGGCGCTTGGCATCCTAATGTCCATTCTTGTTATTCGTGCAGTTATCTTCTTTTTTTATTTTATTTATTTATTTATTTATTTATTTTTTATATTTTTATAATTTTTATTTTTTGAGAAACAATAAATTTTATTCCAATCTCAATCTTCATTTTTCACGATTACAATTGCCACACAGGCTCAATTACATTAAATCAAAGAAAAGTAAGCAAAAACAAAAAATTACCTGCCACATATCAGCACCTTTATATAACCACTAATTCTGCAGCGTTCACTTATCTATCAGCTTCCATGTTACACTCCCTAAACACATGAACAAATCCACAATCCATCTCCAAACAACAATTCAACAGTTCACAGACAAGACTGACTATGGTACTTCAATGGATATTCGGCTTCACCTTTTACCCATTTAACAATAACAATAACTGGTTTATTAAAACTCCTACACATTTTTACTCCTTCCAAATCTGTTTACAATTTAGCCTCATTAGCAGTGGCATTACCTACAGAACTGTAATATTTTAATCATAAATTTCCTTCACAATTCCTAATTAAGCCACGTTGCCCCTCTGGACCACGTTTTCCCATTGAACTTCTATCGAAATTAATCTTGATCCAGCTTTCATCAGGATTGTGACCACATCCCTAGTCCAATCTTCTTTACCACATAGTATCTCCTTTCCCCACCATTACCCTCATATTTTTAATGAAGAAATCTCTATATGCAGTAATCGCCTTCCATATCACAGATATACCCTTTTATTGTTACCTTTTGCCACATTTCCATGTTCTAAATCTTCCCCATATTTCTCCCCAATAATTGTTCTTTTTAATGACATCTCTCCACCACCACTTTGTTAATAGTGCACTATTCATAGATTTCAGTTTTTTAATCACCATGCCTCTATCACATATTGCAGTACAACCTTTTCCCCATTTGATTAGATTGAACTTCTTCTTAACCTCAAAAGCACCCTAGAAGAATTTTCGCATAATACCTTCAATCATCTTTATAAGCATTCATGCATTTTAAACAGTGACATGAAATATATGGGCAGATTGGATGATGCAACTTTGAGTAATGTCACTCTACCCGCTAAAGGAAGTAACTTGAACTTTGAAGAGTCTAATTTGTATTCTATTATTTGGATCAATGGGTTCCACAATGCCTAAATTCTGTTACTTCCTGAAAGGGAGAAACCAAGATATTTAAATGGGAAACCACCAACAACGTATTTCTTCATGTTAGCACACTATTTCACTTTATCATCATCATAAGCCACCTTATGATACTTGCTTTCTTCATATTAAACTTTTAGCCAGTCACCAATTCAAAAACTCTGAGAAACAATTTCAGGTTTTGTATTTTCATATCATCAACCCCACAAAAAATCAAGGTATCATCTGCATATTGCAGATGAGAAATCACCGAGCCATTGTTCTTGATCATGTATAATGCCCTTGTCCACTACTGTTGTAAGCATCACACTAAACATTTCCCCCATTATCGTGAATAGAAAAATGGATAAAGGATCCACTTGTCTAATACTACGAGATGCTTTAAAGAAACATTTCAGCTTCCCATTAATACGGATGGAAAAATGCGTGGATTCTAAACAACCTTTTATCCAACCAATCATTTGTCACCATAGCCCATCGTCTTTAAGGTATGAAACATTCTACCTTATTATATGCTTTCTCAAGATCTATTTTGCAGACAATACCTTATTTGTTATCAGCAATCTGAGAGCTAATAACTTATTGTGCACATGGTATGCTTTCTGTAATTTGTCTATTTTGGATAAAGGCAGATTGAGGACCTTTAATGACCATAGGCAAGATAGTCTATAATCTTCTTGCTAAACACTTTGCAGGAACTTTATAAAGACTTGTAAGAAGACTAATACGTCTAATGTCATTCAAGCATTCAATCATTCCCTTCAATGTGGAATTTAGACTAGGGCTCACAGCTCCCCTATCATGAAATTCAGATATCATATGACAAACTTCTGTCTTAATCAAATCCCAATACTGTTGAAAAAAAACCAAAAGGAAACCCATCTGGTCCTAGGGCACGATCCCCAGCGAAGCTAAACACTGCTTCTTGAATTTCTAACTCAGAGAAAGGCCTCTCAAGCCAGTTACTTCAATTTGAATTTAGTTTAGAGAATGGGATTTGATTGAAATTAGTATATGGAATAACATCTATTTGAAAATGGTTTACAATAGCATTTTCCATCCCTAACACATCTCCATCCTCTACCCCTTCTATCGTAAGTCGTTGAATATTGTTAATTCATTTTCTAACTTTTGTAGTTGCATGAAAAAACTTGGTATTTAGGTTACCTTCTTTAAGCCATCTGATACGAGACCTTTGTTTCCAATATATTTCATCAGCCCTAAGCCACTCATGCAATTCCTTGTCTAAATTATTACGTAGAACAATGTTTCCTGGTTCAATGACGCCAAAATTCCACTCTTTCAAATCAAATTCTCTAATTTTATTCATTGTTTCCTCCACTTTATTTTTGTAACACTACTCTCCTTCATTTTATCAGTTCTTTTTTGACCCCTTGAACCTTTTGGACACTACAAGCCTAGACCATCCTTGCACATCATAGCGTATGTCGATAGTAAGCACGCGGTGAGAGTGAGCGCGCGGCGATAGTGAGCGCGCGACGATAGTGAGCGCGCGTCGATTGTAAGCGTGCGGTGATAGTGAGCGCGCGACGATAGTGAGCGCGCGGCGATGGTAAGAGCACGACGTTGGTGAGCGCACGGCGGCAGCGAGAACGCAACGACATGAGTGAACAAGGGGCATCGCCGTGTGCGTAGCGCCAGCTACGGCATTGCCATGCATGATTAAGTGTTCGCCACTTGTCTAGCAGCATGGGAGTTGGTTGCCACCCGTCAGCTTGGCTGTCACCTGCCACTTGAGCGGATACTTAAGCCCTTCCCTCTCCCTCACGTCCTTCACTTTTTACTCCTCCAAATCTCTCTCTCTCTAAAACAAGTTTTGGGGAGGTTCACTCCCTCACTTTGGAGTAGGCATTGTTAGAGATAAAGGACTGTAGAAGAAAGATTGGAGGACACCATTGTTGGCTATGTAAGTGGATTTCTACCCCTTTGCATCAAGTTGTAAGAGTATGAAATTGAAAGTATGAGATTTAAGCATGAATTTTCATGAACAAAGTACGATGTCAAACACGTATGTTGTGTTATGTTTTCCAACAATGAGGTCTTCTTTGCATAATAAGTTGGGCACTGTTATCACTCTTGTGGATCCTGAAATTTTATGGAATGATGCTTGTGTAAGTCTAGCCTAAGATAGAAAAGGTTTCATGTTGTTATCTTGTATGAGTTTGAAGTTATGGAGTGGTCTTTGGAATGTGCCATGAGTATATTGTGATTTTCCATGGAACTTATATGCTTTTGAAATAATATTTTGACTGAGCAAATGATATCCAATTGGCCTCAAATTACCACCATTTGAAAGGTTTATGAGTCTACTTAGATTTTAATGTTTATGTCCAGTTGAGATTCTTGATAGTTTGGAAGATGTGTTTCATTTAGTGCTTATATGCTACTGTTAGCAGATTGTGATAATTTCTAGAAATATGACTTCTACTGTATTAAAACTTTACCTGACCTATTGAGGTCCAAATGACCCAAAAACACAACCATTTGATAGATGCATGAGTCTTCTACGATTTTTATGTTTTAACCTTGCCCAAATTCTGTGTAAATGAGGAGTTATGCTAAAAAATGCTCCAGTATGTCATTATTGACAGATCTCACAGAAACTCAGAATTTTGGTCTCCGTAGCTATGAATTTTGGCTTACCAAATGGAGTCTAATTACCTCGAAACCACAACCATTTGAAAGCTTTGAATGTCTACTAAAAGTTGCATGATAAAATTGTTTCGAAATCCTGCTAGGTTGCAAGCTAGGATTTGAATTGTGAACATATGTCACTATGGGCTAAAATTCAGTAAGATTCAGAACGATATGCTGAACCCTTAATTAATTAAATAATGCTCTGTTAGAAAATTGGAATAGGAATTTAGTTAAATTTCCCTCACAATTTGGGTGATATGCCTCATTCTGTATATGCCCATGATTGATAAGAATAATAATGAATTTAAGTTGTATATGAGTTATGCACATTTTATGCATAAATGTTTCTTTTGAACATAGGTTAAATCCTGTTGCAAGGTTATAAGACACCGAAATGGCATGCTTATGATCCTACATATGTTGAATGTTCCTGACCTCTTGAAAAGAGTAAATTATGAATGAATAAATGTTATGCATGCCTATATACACTGGAACTGATATATGTGATTTCTGGCCACTAGGCAATAGGTCCCCCATTAGTAGTGGATACTTTGTTTCTGTTATATGAATACTGATATCTGACTGCTACGCAATGAGTTCTCCATTGGTAGTAGAATTTCTTATTATGTTATATGAATGTTGATATCTGACTGCTACGCAATGGGTCCTCCATTGGTAGTAGACTTTTTGATTCTATTATATGAATACTGATATCTGACGGCTACGCAATAGGTCCTCCATTGGTAGTAGACTTTCTGATTCTGTTATATAAATACTGATATCCGACTGCTACACAATGGTCCTCCATTGGTCGTAGACTTTATGATTCTGTTATATGAATACTGATATCCGACTGCTACGCAATGGGTCTTCCATTGGTAGTGGGGTATATTGTACCTCGACCCATATGATAGGAGTGGAGTCGAGAGGTAATCGTAAATAATAGGGAGGGTGGCACCCCCTAAATTGTCCTAGACACTACGTGTTGAGTCCTCCAATGGTAGTGTAACACCCTCTTGCTTGAGGGCACAAGAGAGGGTCGTGTCTTGGAAGGCCTCAGCCTATCGAAAACCCCAAAGCGAGCTAGGGATGTATGCGTGAGTAACGATATTATGAAGTGAGACCTCCACTTGTCATTATCCTCCCTCCTGAATGAGGGTAGAAGTCCCAAGTTTCAGGATTGGCTTAGCCTGATAGATGTGGCTCCTACTTCAGGAGTGATTTAATCTATTTGCTTATTTGAATTCCTTATTCTGTATGATCACCTAATTGTAACTGTGACATGTATAACGGTTGATGCCATATCGAGAACAAGTAATGCTCTGTTAACTAAGTTTTATCCTTTTTATACAGCAATTATTTGTACTCTGATGTATGACCATACTCTGTGCGGAAAATGCGATTTCTGATGGACTATGGGCATGTTTTTATGTATATACTGATAATCGGGAATGCAAAGGCAATGATTTACTTACTGGGCTTATTTCTCACTCCGCTTATTTCATATGTGTAGAGTTTTAGTACCTGATCGCGTGTGGCGAGCAGCTGATCGGTGATAGCAGGCGTTCGAAGTTCAAACCGGTTTAGGATTTCTTTTTGGCTTTGTAGGTGTCTAGTAGCCTTGTCACAAGTTGTTCTATTTGATGTAATATTTTGGGATGAATGTTAGGATTGTAAGCCTCAAACTTTATTGTAAAGACTTTTGAAGAAGAATGAAGTTAATGGTTTTAATTTATTCAGTTTTCAGTGCTTGTTAGATGAGTTTTTATTTATTTCTTGTGGTTTGCTTTGATTCTTCCCTCTTAACACGTATTGATGCCACTCCCACCTGAGTGACGTATGTGACCTCCGGTCGCGATCCCGCACTCTTTTGGTCTTCGGTTTGGGATGGTTGGAGTTTGGGGACGAGGTCGTGACAGTTATGATATCAGAGCAGCTAGGTTTGGGTTCTTGGCCTAGGGAGTTTATAAGTGTCTTTAGAATAGTTTTGGTAGCTTAGTAAATGAGTGCTTGTGTCTTAGGTTGAAGATGTCGAGGATGTGGGCCAATGACGCCAGTTCTAATAATGAGAACACCGAGGCCCTTGGTGAGTTTATCAGGACCTTAAGGCCCTGACACAGATGATGAAAGAGGCAATGCAGGCCCTGTCTACCCCCACCCATTATCTAAATGACAACAACTTGATAGAGAAGTTTAGGAGGCTATCTCCTCGGACTTTTTTGGGGCATGGGGGAGTAGACAAAGCTGATCGATGGAGAAGGCAAATAGAGAAGATCTTCGAGGTATTACAATATACAGAAGAACAGAAGGTCAGACTGGAGACCTTTATGGTAGAGGGAGATGTTGAGCACTTGTGGGGCTCAATGAAGCAGTCTTGGGAGGAAGCATGGACAAAAGTAAATTGGGGAAACTTTCTTGGAGCCTTTAATGAGAAGTACTTTCCTGATTCTATGCAGGAAAGAAAAGAAGTATAATTTATCGAGCTGCAATAGGAAAATTTAACTGTGGAACAGTATACAACCAAGTTTGTTGAGCTGTTGAGGTATGCGCCACATATCATCAATAGTGAGACACGGAAAACAAGTAAGTTTGAAAGGGGTCTTAGGTCAGACATAAAGGGGAGGGCGATATCGGAAAATCTTAAAACCTTATTCCCATTGGTGGACGTGGCCATGAAGATTGAGAGGGCCTGTGAAGAGTCCCGGGTTAGAGGAAACTGTAGGATGGGCCCAGTCCAGTTTGGAAGTTTGGAAAGAAAGGCTCGACCGCCCTCAAGGAGGAACTTTAGGGGAAGAGATAATCCGAGGGCTAAGAAGATTTAGAGGACCTTGCCGGACGACATAAGGGAGAACCGATGCCCAACGTGCCCACATTGCGAGAAAGATAATCACTCGGTGGCTGATTGCTGAAGGAAGACTGGGGCGTGCTTTAGGTGTGGCAAGCCAGATTTGAGATTGCCTAGCCAAGGGACCAGAGAACCGACCAAAAACTCAAGATCCGGTGTTTGCTCCAATCGAGCAGGAAGCTAAGTCATCAACTTCAGTTATCCGAGGTACGCTCTCCTTTTGTGCCATTGAAGCATGGATCTACACACTCTTTTGTTGCACCTCACTTTGCATGCCACATAAATGCTAGACCTTCCTTGCTTGACTGGACATTGGTAGTGTACACACCTATGGGAGAATCTTTAGAAATTGATACTATCATTAAACACTGTGGGGTTTTGCTTGAAGGGTATGTGCTGCCTATAGAAGTGTTTTGATGATCTTTTTGACCAACTCCAAGGGGCCCAAGTATTTTTCAAGATTAACCTTCAGTCAGGTTATCATCAGCTGCGAGTCAAGTAAGAAGATGTCCCTAAGACCGCATTCTGGACTTGTTATGGTCATTACGAGTTTTTTGTGATGCCGTTTTGACTATCTAATGTCCCGACCGTTTTTATGGATATGATGAACATGATTTTTAGACCCTTCTTAGATGACTTTGTAGTAGTTTTTATAGATGACATCCTAGTGTACTCAAGGAATCGAGAAGAGCATGAACGACATTTAAGAATGGTTACTGAGAAGTTATATGCTAAGCTGAGTAAGAGTGAATTCTAACCCCCAAGCATGGCTTTCCTTGGGCATATTGTTTCCAAAGACGAGGTTGCAGTTGATCCTTGTAAGATTGAGGTTGTGCTTAAGTGGGAAAGACCAACGAATATAATGGAAGTCCATAGTTTTCTGGGTCTAGCAAGATGCTATAGGCATTTTGTAGAAGGCTTCTCAAAGATAGTGCTTCCCCTGACTCGCCTAACTCAGAAGGAAGTGAAATTTATATGGTCAGATGATTGTGAGAAGAGTTTTCAAGAATGTGAGAAGAGATTGACTACGACCCGTATACTAACCTTGTCTGAAGGAAAAAAAGGCTTTGTGGTCTACACTGATGCTTCCCATAAGGGACTGGGGTGTGTGTTAATGCCGCACGGGAAAGTTATAACATATGCCTCTAGACAATTAAAGCCGCATAAGCAAAATTACCCAACTCATGACTTAGAGCTCGTGGCTGTGGTCTTTGCCTTGAAGGTTTGGAGACACTATTTTTATGGGGCCCAGTTTAAGATATTTACATACCATAAGAGCCTCAAGTATTTATTTTCGCAGAAAGAATTGAATATGAGATAAAAGTGATGAATAAACTTACTGAATGATTATGACTGCATCATCAATTACCAACCGGGCAAGACAAATGTAGTAGCCGACACTTTAAGCTGGAAACCCTTGATATCAGTAGCACATCTGATGGCCCGAGAGATGAAACTGATAGAAGATGCAGTGGAGTGGTGCCCGATACTACCCTCTAGTTCTGGATTAAGAATAACTGCGAGTATAAGAGTGGAACCTCAACTCTTTCAACAGATCAGGGTAGCCCAAAAGACAGACCTGCAGCTTATGAAAATTCTAGAAGACTTGAAGCAGGAAAGAAATGATAATTTTTCTGTTAGCAGTGATGATCTATTAAGATTTAAAGAGCGAGTATGCGTTTCAAATGATGAAAATATAAAGAGAGTCATTTTAGAAAAGGCGCACTACTCCCATTACATTGTATACCCAGGAAGTATAAAAATGTATCGGGATTTAAGGAAAACTTTCTGGTGGAATAACATGAAGAGGGATGTGACACAATTTGTTTCTAAATGTATGACTTGTCAGCAAGTAAAGGCTGAGCATTAGAGACCTATCGGGCTGTTGTAACCCTTGCCTGTTCCTGAATGAAAGCGAGAGCACATCACTATGGATTTTGTGTCCGGTTTGCCAAGATTAGGCACTGGAGATGACAGTGTTTGGATTATTGTGGACCGATTAACCAAGGTTGCACATTTCTTATCGGTCCGCAATACCTATACCCTAGACAAACTGGCTCAGTTGTATATCAAGGAAGTAGTAAGGTTGTATGGAGTACCTGTTAGTATTGTGTCCGACAGGGACTCTAGATTTACTTCAAAGTTTTGGAGTAGTCTACAATCAGCTTTGGGGACAAGAATCACTTTTAGTACTGCTTTTCACCCAGACTGATGGACAGTCAGAAAGGACCATTCAGACCTTAGAAGATATGTTGAGGGTCTAAGTTACAGACTTTAAAGGAAACTGGGATGATCACTTACCTTTAATAGAATTTGCATATAACAACAGTTTCCAGGCCAGTATTCAAATGACACCTTTTGAGGCACTGTATGGGAAAAAATGCAGATCGCTAGTGTGTTGGGAAGAAGTCGGCGAAAGGAGACTAATAAGGCCGGAAATTGTTCAAGTAACATTAGAAAAGATCACACTAATTCGAGAAAGGCTTAAAACAACTCAGAGTTGGCAGAAGAGTTATGCCGATAATCGCTGAAGGGAGCTTGAATTTGAAGTGGGTGATCGGGTCTTTTTTAAAGTGTCACAAATAAAAAGAATTATGAGGTTCAACAATAAAGGGAAACTAAATCCATGATTCATTGAACCCTTTGAAATATTAGAGAGAATCAGAGTCGTGGCATATCGACTGGCCTTACCGCTCGAGTTGGCTAATATTCATGATGTGTGTCATGTGTCACTATTGAGAAAGTATTAGCCCGACCTGTCCCATGTCCTGAAGTATGAACCAATTCCGATCAGGGAAGACTTAACTTATGTTGAGTAGCCAATTGAGATTCTGAACAAAAGGGTTCAAGTTTTGCGCAACAAAAAGATTCCCCTAGTCCGGGTTTTATGGCAGTATCATTCGAGGGAAGAATCAACGTGGGAGCGAGAAGATGAAATCCGGGCTATGTACCCCCATTTATTCGATTGACGATTTTGAGGATAAAATCTTTTTAAGGGGAGGATGATGTAAGGACCCAGACAAGTGCGCGACGATAGTAATCACACAACGATAGTGAGCATGCGGCGATAGTAAGCGTGCAGCGATGGTAAGTGTGCAGTGATGGTGAGCGCGCTGCGATGGTGAGCATGCGGTGATAGCAAGCACGTGACGATGGTGAGTGCGCGACGTTGGTGAGCGCCCGACGATAGTAAGCGTGTGGTGATAGTAAGCGTGCGATGATAGAAGAGAGCGCGACAGTGTGTGTGCAGTAGCGAGATTGCAACGCTGCGAGTAAACAAGAGGCATCGCTGTGTGCATAGCGACGGCTGCGCAACGTCGGTTGCAGCACTGCCATGCATGATTAAGTGTTCGCCACTTGTCCAGCTGTATTGGAGTTGGTTGCCACTCGTCAGCTTGGGTTGCCACCTGCTACTTGAGGGGATACTTAAGCCCTTCCCTCTCCCTCACGTCTTTCACTGTTTACTCCTCCACATCTCTCTCTCTCTCTCTAAGACAAGTTTTGGGGAAGTTCACTCCCTCACTTTGCAGTAGCTATTGTTGGAGATGAAGAATTGTAGAAGAAAGATTGGAGGGCACCATTGTTGGCTATGTAAGTGGATTTCTACCCCCTTGCATCAGGTTGTAAGAGCATGAAATTGAAAGTACGAGATTTAAGCATGAATTTTCATGAACAAAGTATGATGTTAAGCATGTATGTTGTGTTATGTTTTCCAACAATGAGGTCTTCTTGCATGATAAGTTATGCACTGTTATCACTCTTGTGGATTCTAAAATTTTGTGGAATGATGCTTGTGTAAGTCTAACCTAAGATAGAAAATGTTTCATATTGTTGTCTTGTTTGGGTTTGAAGTTATGGAGGAAGATTTTGACTGAGCAAATGATATCCAATTGGCCTCAAATCACCACCATTTGAAAAGTCTACGAGTCTAATTAGAGTTTAATGTTTATGTCCAGTTGAGATTATTGATAATTTGGAAGATGTGTTTCATTTTTTGCTCATATACCACTGTTAGCAGACTGTGATAATTTCCAAAAATATTGCTTCTATTATATTAAAACTTTGCCTGACCTATTGAGGTCCAAATGACCCAAAAACATAGTCATTTGATAGATGCATGAGTCTTATACGATTTTCATGTTAACCTTGCCCAAATTCTGTGTAAATGAGGAGCTATGCTAAAAAATGCTCAAGTATGTCACTATTGACAGATTTTACAGAAACTCAGAATTTTGGTCTCTGTTGCCATGAATTTTGATTTACCAAATGGAGTCCAATTACCCCCAAATCACAGCCATTTGAAAGCTCTGAATGTCTATTAAACGTTGCATGATAAAATTGTTTCAAAATTCCTAGGTTGCCAGCTATGATTTGAATTGTGAACATATGTCACCATGGGCAAAAATTCAGCAAGATTCAAAACGATATGCTTAACCCTTAATTAATTAAGTAATGCTCTGTTAGAAAATTGTATTAAAAAATTTAGTGAAATTCCCCTCATAGTTTGGGTGCTATAACTTATTTTGTATATGCCCATGATTGATAAGAACAATACTGAATTTAAGTTGTATATGAGTTATACACATGTCATGCATCAATGTTTCTTTTGAACATAGCTTAAATCTTATTGCAAGGTGATAGGACATCGCAATGGCATGCTTAGGATCTTACGAATGTTGAATGTTCCTGACCTGTTGAAAAGAGTAAAGTATGAATGAATAAATGTTAGGCATTCCTATACATAGTACAACTGATATATGTGATTTCTGGCCACTACGCAATGGGTCCATTGGTAGTGGATACTCTGTTCCTGTTATATGAATACTGATATCTGACTGCTACGCAATGGGTTCTCCATTGGTAGTAGACTTTTTTATTCTGTTATATAAATATTAATATCTGACTGTTACACAATGGGTCCTCCATTGGTAGTAGACTTTCTGATTCTTTTATATGAATACTAAAATCTAACTGCTACGCAATGGGTCCTCGATTGGTAGTAGACTTTTTTATTTTGCTTTATGAATACTGATATCCGACTGCTATGCAATGGGTCCTCCATTGGTAGTGGGGTATACTCTACCTCGACCCATGTGATAGGAGTGGAGTTGAGAGGTGACCGTAAATAATAGGGAGGGTCGCGCCTCCCAAATTGTCTTGGGCACTATGCATTGGGTCCTCCAATGGTAGTGTAATGCCCTCTCGCCTGAGGGCACAAGAGATGGTCATGTCTTGCAAGGCTTCAGCCTATAGAAAATCCCAAAGCGCTTTAGGGTTGTGTGCATGAGTAAGGATAGTAAGAAGTGGGACCTCCACTTGTCATTATCCTCCCTCCTGAATGAGGATAGAAGTCCCAAGTTTCAGGATTGGCTTGGCTTGATCGATGTGGCTTCTACTTCGGGAGTGATTTAATCTGTTCTGCTTATCTGACTTTCGTATTCTGTATGAACACCTAACTGTAACTATGACATGTATAATGGTTGATGTCATATTGAGAACAAATAATGCTCTATTAACTGAGTCTTACCCTTTTTATACAGCAATTATATGTACTCTAATGTATAATCGTACTCTGTGTGACAAATGCGATTTCTAATGGATTATGAGCATGTTTTTATGTTTATACTGATAGTCGAAAATGCAAAAGCAGTGATCTACTAACTAGGCTTATTGCTCACTCCGCTTATTTCATCTGTGTAGAGTGTTACTACCTGATCGCATGTGGCGAGTAGCTGACCGGTCATAGCAGGCGTTCGGAGTTTGAGCCAGTTTAGAATTTCTTTTTGGCTTTGTAGTGTTTGGTGGCGTTGCCACGTGTTGTTCTGTTTGATGTAATATTTTGGGATGAATGTTGGGCTTGTAAGCCTCAAACTTTTTGTAAAGACTTTTGAAGAAGAATGAAGTTAATGGTTTTAATTTATTCAATTTTCAGTGCTTGTTGGATGAGTTTTTATTTATTTCTCGTGGTTTGCTTTGATTTTGCCCTCTTAACATGTATTGATGCCACTCCCACCTGAGTGACGTACGCGACCTCCGATCGCGATCCCGTACACTATTGCCCTCCAGTTTGGGATGATAGGGGTAAAAAGGGGGGGGGGGGGGTCATGACATTATTGTTCTAAGAATTTATAACCAGATCACTCATGACTTTCTCTTTTGTCCATGCCGACTCAAATTTAAAATACCCATGACCTCTTTTCAACGTTTTACTCTCCCATATCAAGGGGATATAGTTAGAAGATAATTTTGGAAGAGCGTGAGTTGAACCCAAATGAAATAGCTCAGCCCAAGCCAGATTGACTAGAAAGTGGTCCAATTGAGTCATAATGGGATTCCTATAGCAATTATTTGACCAAGTGAATTTAGCCCCTTCTATTGGGATGTCCATGAGCTCCAATCTAGAGATAAACTCTGAAACCAACCTCATACAAGAATCAATTCTATGTTTTATATTAGATTCATTTGAAATAAGCAACCGAAAACCAGAAATGCTATGCAAGAAAACACAAGAAATAGATCATTTATCCAAGTAATACCATTTAGAGGGGTCGCATATATTCCATATACCCCCTGATAAACCAACATAGTCTTTTGAGCGAAATTGCAAAGGTATAATCCCGACTTAGCATAAAATAATCTAGTATTAGCGAATTTAGTTTCTTGTACCAAAACTAAATCAGGACATTCTTTCTTGACAATAGAGAGAAGCTCTAATTTATGTTTTGTACTACCTGAACCTCTAACATGTCAAGATAATATTTTAATCATTTAGATACCAAAAAAGAGCTATGTCTGGTAGCATATCTACTGTCTACTAACATAAATGGTCTTTTGCGCATAATCCACCATATCGATATTGCAACTCTATACGGAGCTTTTTGATGACGCCCCTTTATTTTAACCGCACCTTTGGTCTTTTAGCTACCTGCTTTTTCCTTCTTCTTGAGCTTCTTCTAAGTACTCACGCAAGCCACCGATAATGGAGGTCCACAAAGCCTTGGATTATTTGCAAAAGAATCAGGTGGTAGACTACGAAAAACAGAGGGAATTGGACCATTGAGCCTATTCGAGGAGACCTGAAAAGTTTTGAGCCTAGGCAAGCCACCAAGTTGAGCAGGAATTTCACCAGAGAACTGATTTTCAGAGAGCTTAATGATGTTCAGGTAAGTACAATTCGCGAGGCTTGCTGGTATTTGACCAGAAAACTTATTAGAAGAGAAATCAACAGAGGTCACCATAGGAATCTTTTGTGATATATCAGAAGGCAAGTTACCAGAGAGATCATTGTTAGAGAGATCAAGACCAGTCATGCTTGTGCAATTCTCTAAGCCTTGAGGGAACTGGCCTTGAAGGCCAAGGCCTGAAAGCCTTATGTTGAGGACCTTGTTCTCGTCCGGGTGCCAACACTCGACGCCCAAGAACGAGCAGATGGAGACATGGGAGTTGTTGTTGAAGTTCCAAGAAGAGAGGTAGTGGAATGGGTCTCTAAGAGAAGCTTTCAGGGCTAAGAGGCACTGTATATCGGTCTCTCCGCCATGGCTAAAGACCCAAGTTTGCAGAATAACCCCTAGAAAGATATACATGGAAGGAGCCACAGAGATCAACATCTCTCTCTCTAACAAACCCAAATCTCAACTTAGGGAGAAGAAATCCCAACAACAAACCTCTCTATCTTTCTATTTGTTTCTCAGTCTCTCTCTTAGTTAACTATAAAACAAACCCCAATTTTTGACGTCTGTGAAATGAATGAATGATGCCTCCACCCAGTTTCCAAGACCCAGTCAAAGTCATCAACCAAAGTCTGCCCCAGTTTCCAACCCAATCTTCAACAGAAACCCATTGGAAAGGGGGAAAGTGAGAGAGAGGGGTCTTTACCTTTCTTCCAACCCCACATCATGGAAAAGAATAGGAGAGTGTGAATGTGGGTTTTGAAGATTGGAAAATGAGTCGTTCTCTAGCCCATAACCTCCCTGTGATAAAGATAGAGAGAGGGGGGAGAGAGAGGAAGGGAGAAAAAGGGAGAGATGGTGAGCGCATCAATCCATGTTCGTAAAATCGGACCGAAACTGTTAACCAGACATGGCCTAGAAGCGGTTTAAGTGGCCTAACCGATAAATCGGCCAATTCAATCGTTCTAGCCAGGCAAGTCTTGAGTTGTCAAAAATTGTTGAAAAAAAAAATACAAAAAAAAAAATCTACTAAAATGCGAAAAACATATAATTAAAACAAAACATATTTAAATGACATTGAAAATTAATGAAAAAAATGATTTTTAAAGAATCAATTTGTCTTTAGGGTTATAAAAATATAAGGGAAATAATGACCAAAACAATTTCTAATCTTAACTATAATGTAAAGAATATTAACTATAATGTAAAAAATATATTACAAACCAATTTCTTATTTTTGGGATTATATATATATTTTTTTGAATTTTTTTTAAAAATACCCGCCGATCATCAAAACTACTTGAAACTTGCCGATTCCGATCCAACCGGGCGATTACCAATAGATCACCCAGTTCTTCCAATATGGACACCAATTGTACGACCAAACCTTGTACCACCAAACCGGCTAAGCCATAATTTAGCTCACTTTTAACCTCAGTTTTAATATTGTGGAGTAGGGAGATATTTTGAAGAGTTTGGACGTAGAGAGAGGAAAGAGAAAGACCGTTAATTTAAAATTTGAAGGTATGGTGAAGAGAAAGAAACTTGAAGGCTTGTTGGCTTTCTCGGTTTATTATAAGGAAAATTACAAAAACCTCCCTTGACTCAATTTTTTTTACATTATCCCTCCAATCAATTTTTTCATCGCAATTTTTACTTCAAAACTAAGTTTTATAGCAAATATACTTAACTCAAAAAGTCATAGTTTAGAGGATGAAAATATCCTTCCCTGTACATGAAGGCGTCACATGCACGTAGACACTCAATCATCAAAGACGGTCCGACACATTACTGTCGGACCGGAACCCCATAATCATAAACTACCCGATCGCAGCAACAATCTGTCGGACTGCATTCAACTTATGCCGGACGAGGCTTCATAGTGCCAGACCGACAACATATACTTCCGAACCATAGGCCTTAGAAGACAATCTGCTGGACCATATGGCAAATATGCCGGACTGCATGGAACATGTTGCATGACCACATTTATAAGTGCTAGATCGAGGGTATTTTGGTTTTTATTTGAACTTTTTTTTGATTATTATTTGGGGGTATTTGCTATAAAACATAATTTTGGGGTAAAAGTTGTGAAGAAAAATATGGTTGGGGGAAATTGTCTAAAAAGTCTGCTTTGGGAGGTATTTGTAATTCCCTTGGTTATGCACAAACGGGATTTTTAGGATGTGATATGCATATGTACATGCACGAATATGCAAGATGGACTTGAATGCAACAGGGGAGCGATGCATCAAATGAATACAAAACCGAACAAGTCAAAAGCTTGCAAGCTGTTAATGAAAATTGATGTAGCGCGAGACCAACCCGAGATCAGAGAAGAGATGCCGTGATGCTGGTGATTGAAGAGCCCAGATTTTTTTTGTCCTTTTGAGAGAGAAGAAGAGTTCTGTGTTTACAGATGAAACTCTGTATATCTTTATTTCATTTTTTGCATTCTTTCTCTCTGAGGCTTCCCATTTTATAGGGAGAAGAAAAGCTATGTGTTATATTTTTCAAGGGGTCTCTAAGAAAGGTTCATCTTAGGGATATCCATACAACGTTTATATGAACGTTGGTTCATATGAACGTTGGATGTGATAAAAATAAGAATCTTTCCACAATTGTAGGTCTTTCAGCCGAGGCAACGTAACGTTAGGCCTTATGGCCATACGTGTTGACATCTCCCACTTGACCATGACGTTCAAGCGTAATAATCAGTCACATGCATAATCCCACTTTTGAGTATGACCTTTAAGAAAATTTATTGTCATGAGGTTTTTTCTACGCTTTCGCGGATATGCCTTTCATAACAAATGTCTATCATGAAGATTTTCAGGCTAATGCAGATCTGTCACTCATGAAAAACTGAGTGACTTAGACATTTTTAAGTCCATTAAACTAGTATGCTTAAAGAATAGTTCAAGACTTAGACCCTTAGTTAATGGATCAACGATCATATCTGATGAGGGCAAGTAACTAACAATTACTTCATCTTTCTTACCTACATCCTAAATGTAGTGATATTGAACATCTATATGTCTTCCTTTGGAGCTATTTGCTCCACTTTGAATTAATTTAATTGCATCTTGATTATCTCAAAATATTTAGATCAGTTCGTCGATTATTTGCAGCTTCAAGGTATCTATAAAGCGCTTTATCCAGATAGCGAAAGTACAAGCAGTGATACATGCATTGTATTATGCTTCCTGTGTGTACCTAGCTACACACCCTTGTTTCTTGCTAGACGAATAAATAGCTGCCCCTCCAAAGAGGAAAATATGTCCCGATGTGGGCTTACTATCATCCTTGTCCCTAACAAAATTTGCATCTGAATATCCTATAACTTCAAGCTTATATGTTTGAAAGCACAATTTTAGATGCTTTGTTCCCTTAATTTACCTTAGAATTCTTTTTACTGCTTTCCAATGAGCTATGCCTGGATTACTTTGATATCTACTAACAAGTCCTACGACATAACTCAAATATGGTCTTGTACATCTTACTGCATATACCAAGCTACCAATACCTTGTGGATACGGAACATTAGGCTTTTTTTTTTCCTTCTACTGGACAATCCTTCCTAGACAAATTTACTTCATTTTCAATAGGAGTAGACATTGACTTACAATTTTCTATTTAAAATCTTTTAAGAACAGAGTCAAGATATCTCTCTTGGCTCAAGCACAACATTTTTTATTTTTTATTTCTTGTTATTTTTATGCTTAGGACATAAGATGCTTCTCTCATATCTTTCATCTCAAATCGAGAAGAAAGTTATGACTTAATTTTATCAATAATTTCTAAGTCATTTCCACCTATCAGGATATCATTTACATATAATGAGAGTATTGTAAATTTACTCCCACTCTTCAAGACATAAACACAGTGGTCCAATCTATTTACTTCATATCCCATTTGTAGGATGACATCATGAAATGTTAAATACCATTGTCTTGAATATTGTTTTAAACTATATAAATATTTATTGAATTTGTATCGTTTATTTTCTTGAACATTTAATTATGAAGCCCTCAAGTTGCTTCATGTAGATGGTTTCCATTAGTCCACCATTCAATAATGCAGTCTTTACATCCATTTGGTAAAGTTTTAGGTCGTAATATGTAACGATTGCCAAAATTATTCTAATGGCTATAAACGTTGCAACTGGGAAATAAGTGTCGACATAGTCGACTCCCTTTCTTTGGGCAAAACCCTTTGCTACTAACCTATCTTTAAATTTATTAATTGATTCATCATATTTTAATTTCTTTTTAAGTACCCATTTAGAACCTATATATCTCCTACCTGATGGCAAATCACATAGATATAAAACTTTAATTTTCTCTATAGAATCTAATTCTACTCTTATGACATTAAGTCATTCTTGAGATTCTTGTGACTTCATAGCATCATTGAAGTCTAAAGGGTCATGGATTTCATCTAGGTCAATAAAGTTGTCTGTCTCCTCACTCATATAGACATATAATTCATCAAGGTACGATGGAGGAGCTCTGGACCTCTTTTAACTACTTAACATTAGGTGTATGGGTACTTCAACATCATCATGTTGATCAGGGTTATCCATATCTATTGTAGGTAGTGGTTCTAAGTCATTTAGGATATTAAGTGGATTATCATTATTCACTACAAGTATGTTTTCTTCAATGAAATCTTTTAAGAACTAGACATCTCTACTTTCAATGAGTCTCTTATCTTTATGATAAAATCGATATCCCTTTGATCCTTTGGGGTATTCTATAAAATTACAAACTAGAGTTTTGTTTTCTAACTTATTTCTATGTTGATATGGAATTAGGACATGTGCAGTCGACCCCCACTTCTTAAGTTGGATAGATCATGCTTTCTACCTGCCCACAGTTCATAAACGGTATAATCAATTGCCTTAGTTGGGACCCTATTAAGAATATACATAGATGTGCTTATTGCTTCTCCCCAAAAGGTCTTGGGTAGACTGGCATAAGTCATCATAGATCTAGTCATTTCTAAAAGGGTTATATTATGTCTTTCAGCTATTCCATTTTGGTGTGGCGTATAAGGCATAGTAGTATGTCTTTTAATACCATATTCTTGGTAATAAGTATTGAAAGCTTTGAATGTGTATTCACCTCCCCTATCAGTTCTAAGAACTTTGATGTTCCTACCCAATGGGTTTTCTACTTCTTTTTTATATATTTTGAATTTTTCTAAAGCTTTTAATTTATAGTGGATTAAATAAATATATCAAAATCTAGAAAAAACATCAATAAAGGTGATGAAGTATGACATCCCTATATGAGTTTTAATATTGAGGGGCCCACAAGTGTTTGAATGGACCACATTCAATAACTCATTCTCTCTCTCCCGTTTATTGAAATGATTTTCTAGTCATTTTTCCTGATAAATAGTGCTGACAGTTTAGAAATTTCATATTACTTAGATTTGGAATAAGACCCTCTTTTATTAACCTATTTATTTTGTATTTTCCTATGTGGCCAAGCCCAAGGTGTCCAATATATGCATCAATAGCCATTACACAATCAATATAACCAAAATAAGACGAAGTTTTATTATAAACTTTCTCATTTACATGAAGAAGGAATAAGTTGTGGTCATCAACTATGTATCCCCAAGCATAAATTTGTTCATGTTTTTTGATTGATAATTTCAATGATCGGAAGCAGACTTCAAAGCGCTTTCGTATACGCAAGGGGACAGATACAATATTTTGTCTCATAGAAAGGATAAAATATACATCAGTTAATACAAGATCGATAGTCCCTACATACAACCT